TTATTTATTTTTTTTAGCAGTTTTAGGTTTATAGAAAATTTGATTGGAAAATACAGAGTTCCCATATCATCACCACCCCCTCCCCCTTCCCCTATTATTAACGTCTTGTACTACTGTGGTATATTTGTTACAGTTGATAAGCCGATATTGATAGATTGTTATTGACTAAAGTTCATAATTTACATTGGAGTTCACTTTTTGTGTGATAAAATTGACATTAACATTTGTTGCTTTAGCATATGTATCCACCATTTTAGTATCATACAAAGTAGTTTTGCTGCCCTAAAAATCTCTTGTGTTCCACCTGTTCATTTCTTCCTCCCCCAGAACCCATGTCAACCAATGATCTTTTTATTATCTCCATAGTTTTGTCTTTCAGATTGGCTTCTTTCACTTACCAACATGTATTTAAGGTTTCTCTGTCTTTTCATGGCTTGGTACTTGATATCTTTTTTTTTTTTTTTTTTTTTACAGACTTTATTTTTAAGAATAGTTTTGGGTTCATAACAAATTGAGAGAAAGGTCCAGAGATTCCCCATATATTCCCTGCCCCAACACATAATATAGCCTTCCCCATTATCAACATCCCCCACTGGAATGGTACATTTGTGACAGTTGACGAACCTACATGAGCAACATCATTATTACCCAAAGTCCATAGTGTACTTTAGTGTTCACTCTGTAAATTTTATAGGTTTGGATAAATGTATAATGACATATATTCATCATTATAGTATACAGAATAGTTTCACTGCCTTAAAAATCCTCTGTACTCTGCCTGTTCATCCCTTTCCTACCTCTAACCCCTGATAATCACTGATCTTTTTTTGTTATCTCCATAGTTCTGCCTTTTTTAGGATGGCATATAGTTGCAATCACACAACATGTAGCCTTTTCAGATTGGCTTCTTTCATTTAGTAATACACATTTAAAGTTCTTCCACATCATTTTATAGCGCTCTCTCTTTTTTTATACTGAATAATATTGATTGTCTGGTACATCCAGACAATCAATATTATTCAGTATATCTTTATCTTTTCATCTATTGAAGTATATCTAGGTTTCTTCCAAGTTTTAGAAGTATATCTTTATCTTTATCTTTTCATTATATCTTTTCATTATATCTTTATCTCTTCAGTATATCTTTATCTTTTCATCTATTGAAGTATATCTAGGTTTCTTCCAAGTTTTAGAAGTTATGATAAAGCTGCTACCAATACATGTGTATAGATTTTTGTGTGGACATTTAAGTTTTCAACTTATTTGGATAAATATCCAGGAGTGCAATTGCTGGATTGTACCGTAAGAGTATGCTTAGCTTTGTAACAAACTATAACTGTCTTCTAAATTGGGTGGCAATGAATTAGAGTTCCTGTTGCTCCATGTCCTTGCCAGCATTTGGTGGTGTCAGTGTTCTGTAATTTGGCCATGCTAATACTGTGTTTCCCCGAAAATAAGACATCCTCCAAAAATAAGACCCAGCGCATGGAAAGATAAGACATCCCCTGAAAATAAGACCTAGCGCAACTTAAGACACTGTCTTATTTTCGGGGAAACAGGGTAGTTGCAGAGGGGTATCTCATTGTTTTAACGTGCATTTCCCTGATGTCTTGTGCAGCACTTTTTCAAGTGCTTGTCTATGTGTAGTATAAGCATAACTTTATATGTACTGGGAAACAAATATTTGTGTGATGGGTTTCATTCAATATTCACTGTCTTACGTTAATCGCGTTTGTGTGGTGGTTGGGAACCAATCTTGCAATATTTCTGAAGTAGAACTGTATTTTGTGTCACTACTTTCAATTCTTATGGTTATTATATACCTGGAAGTTGAATTGCTGGGTCAAATGGTCATTCTATGTTTAATGTTTTGAAGGACCACTATACTGTTTTTCTACAGTAGTTGCATAATTTTATACTCCTACTAACAATTAAGGGTTTAATTTCTCTACATCTTCATCAAGACTATTTTCTGTTTTGTTGAGGATACTAGCTATCATAATAGGTTTTACTCAGCTTATTTTGTCTTAAGCCTGATATTGTTTAAATAATATGAATATTTGGTTCTCTAGTCCAGCGGTCACCAACCTTTTGGACCTCGCAGACTACCAGTTGGCAATCACTGCTCCAAAGGTTTCCTTAAACCAGCAGTTGCCAACCTTTCGGACCTCCATGGACCACCAGTTGGCAACTGTTGCTCTAGTCCTTGGGAGCTCAGATATAGCAAACTAGAAAGGTCTGTTTGGTAGATGAATATAAGACCTAAATTTAAGGCATTTCAATTGCTAGTAGCTAGATGCAAATGAACTTCTGAAAAATTTATGTAGGGAACACTCTGTTCCTTAGCCATACCAGATAGTAAAATGTTACTCTGAGTTAAATTAGTCTAGATCTCAGTTGTCCATATGGTAGTCATTAGCCAAATATGCCTATTTAAATTAATTAAACCTAGGTAAAATGATAAATTCAGTTCCTTAGTTACACTAGTCACATTTTAAGTGTTCAATAGTCATATGTAAGTAGTGGCTACCATATTTAGAGATAGTGGAAGGAAGGGGGAGAAGCAGAGAGAGAAACATCAATGAGAAAGAAACATCATTTGGTTGCCTCCTGCAAAAGTCTGGGCTAGGGATGGGGATAAAGCTTACAACCTAGGTACTAGTACTAGTATATGTCCCTGACCAAAATCAAACTGGCTTCTCTAACCTCTGAGCAAAACCTAGCACAACTAGGGCAACTATAGAGCATTTTTATCATTGCAGAAAGTTCTTTTGGACAGCAATGGTCCAGTTTTTCATTAGAGATATTATTGAAGGGTGAATACAGCGGTGTTTGTTAGTTAATTATAGAATAAAAGGTCACATAGAAATTTAAGATTTGAAATTTGATTTACAGTAATAATTTTATGTAGTGATGTGGGCTACTTAAGATTAGTAATCAATTATTTAACACTCATTTAGGGTTCTAAAGGCAAAATACTTTACTAGGAGTTCTGGATTTTCTTTGTGTTGTATTGGTTTTTGTTGTTGTTGTGTTTTGTTTGTTTTTTTTTTTAGTAGGAAATACTTGTATCTGTCTGTCTATCTCTCTTCTCTCTCTTGATAGTTATAAATATATCTACTAGAGGCCCGGTGCACAAATTAGTGCATGTGTGGGGTCCCTTGGCCTGGCCTGTACCTTCTCACAATCTAGAACCCCTTGGGGGATGTCAGAGAGCTGGTTTTGGCCTGATCCCACAGGCCAGGACAAAGGACCCCACTAATGCACTGGGCCTCTAGTATAGGATATTTCCTACACATATAAAAGATATCTTACATAGAGAGAAATTTATGCCCTACTACATAAATAAATACATACTCACACATATATCTTCTACAGAAAAAAAATTCCTTAATATTTTCTGGAAAATAGTTCATATTTAAATTTTCAAATTGTTACAACGTATTTTATAGTTCCTCTCTCTTCCTCCCACCACATATACCAGTCAAGGCTCAGATGTTGTAGTTGGTTGCTATGTCTTTTTAGTTTCTCTTATACAGAAAAATGCTTGCTTTCAAACACTTTTTCTCTATCATAATACTATTTTTTTACAGAAACCAGGCCAGTTTTCTTGTAGAACGTCCCCTTATAATTTGTTTTGTTGCTTGCTTTTCTGGTGTCATATAATTTGTTCCTCTATTCCCTTTATTTCCTGTGAACTAGAAGTTGATTTTAATATAAAGACTTGCTTTAGGTTCAGGTTAAGAAATTTTGGTAAGAACACTTTATAGCCAGTGCTCTGAATTTGAGTTTTTTATTTTCATGATGGTTATGTGAATAGTTTTATATAGTGATTTATGATTTATAAATGCTCTCACAACAATTTTTTCTAGTAATATTTTTGACACCTTTTGAAGTAGGTTATTTTCTTTATTGTATAGACGTTAGTTTTTATTAGTACTTAGAAAGTTGTACAATTCCACTGGTTATTAAAAGTGAAAAGGGAGTTACTTTGTCTCTACTGTCTTCACATGTTTTTAAAGAAAATACTAATTTTTTCATCATTCTGAGAAACAAGAAGTAGAAGTTATTCCATCTATGTTAATTATAGTTATTGTGTATGATTCTTCTATACCGAATAATACCCACCCTTGCTGATAATAATTTCCCTCCTTTAAAAAAAGAAATCAATTCAAAATTAAACCAATAGGTGAATAAAGAACTGTTAATGATACTCACAGCTTCTGAGCAGCATGAATAATCCATGTTAATGTATCTAGTTTATATAATTCCAACTGATAACAAAGTAACATGATATTCTAAATTATCCTGTGCTGCTATTAGTATGTTTATGATTTCTTTTAGAGTTTTGTCATACCTTTAACTGATTATTTCTAAAGTAATATAAACTATTTAACTTAGCTATTTCTAAATATTCAGACTAGAAATCTAAAAATGCTTCTAGTTGATTTTCATTTATTTTTTGTTTTGTTATCATTTGATTAGAAAAGCCATTAAAACCATTTAAGTTTACATGCCCAGCCTGGATATTGGTGGTACAAAGATATAAAATATCAGTTATAAGTCATATATGCAAAATTTATAATAATATTAGCTGCTCTCTATTAGGAGCTTATTATGTGCCATTGTGCACTTTATATATATTATTCAGTCCTTGTAACAATTCATAACGATAAGAGGCAAGTTATCAGAGGTTAAGTAACTTGCCTAAATATGTAGCTAGTTGGTGAAAAAGTAGGTATTTTATTTACTTTTTCAGTACTGACTTTGAAGTGTAAAAAGCCTATGACTTTTACACTGTACCCTGCAGGTTCTGATATGCTTGTGATGTAATACAGTGAAACATACTTACTGAAACATTTACTGAAACATATATAATGCTATAAGGTTGGACTTACTATGCTAATCTGGAGTAAAATTTTTGCCTTTGGGTTATGTTATTTTAGCAATGTATAGTCTAATTAGAAAATATACTTTTTTTCCCCTTTCCTCACCTGTAGATATTCAAGAATTTTATGAAGTGACCTTATTGGATAATCCAAAATGTATAGATCGTTCAAAGCAGTCTGAACCAATACAGCCTGTGAATACTTGGGAAATTTCCAGCCTTCCAAGCACTACTGTGACTTCAGAAACACTGCCAAGCAGCCTTAGCCCTAGTATAGAGGTAAGATAAAAATCTTTTTCCCTTAAGCTGTTTAGGGATACTAATTTTTTTCATTTTATTAAAATGAACACTTTGTGGAACTATTTATAATGGAATAAAGAGGATTGGATTAAAAATACGTTTGAAAAGAAAAGCTCAGGATCTCTGGTGCCCTGGTCTTAAAATGGTTTGAGGTATGAAATACTTTGCATGATAGACTTCAACGAGGCTCTATCTGTGTGATAATTAGATAGAAACTATGGTTTTGCTCTGGTATTCTTTCTTAGAAATTGAATATGGTTTTGTAGCCCTGGGCAGTTTACTTGCTACATTTATCCCAAGGATTCTGTTTATTTTCCTAAAGTAATGCATTATTAAAATTTTAGAGACTGACCAATAAATCTAAAAGTCGGCATTGGTTTCTATATTTTTCTATAATAAAACAATTGAGTTTTCATAACCATTTTCATAATGTTTTTGTTGTTGTTGTTGTTATATATTGTTGCTGGTAGAGTTAGACATGACAAAACAGAGATATGAAGCATTTTATAATGAAGATTCTGTCTGAGAAACATTAGTCATTTGAAGATGGTTGTCTGACTGAATATGATTCTAGTCCCTTGTAGTTAATAGTAGAAAATTGCCTGGAAAATTGAATCAGCTTCTGTTTGGTGTGTAATCAATCAGGAACAAGTAGTGGTGGGCAGCAATCAGACAGCCCGTTGGCAATGAAAGAGACAGTTTCTCAGTTTCTTGTTTATGTTATGTAACAGCAAGGAATTTTAGAGCAAGAAAAATCAGAAAACATTTTATCCCTCTCCTTCACTTTAAAGATTAGGAAACTGAGATCCAGAAGAAAAATGAGACCCAGTTTATTCAGCTGGTTTGGGAAAGTCTACCTTGGGATTTCAGACCTCTTAAAACCCAATTCACAGTTCTCTTTACTAATCTTGATATGTCCTTGTGTTTTCCTTTGATTAGAGATTCTAGTGTAGAATTTTCTATGTGTCCATATTTTCCTCTCTTATGTTTTTCAATCACTTTTTCTTGGATAATTTTAGTTTCCATTCTCTTTAGTTGATACATCATTTGTGCTTATGTTAGTCCATTTCAAATAGATTTTTTTAAATGTTAATTGATAATACAATTTGATTTTTGAAGTGATATGGTTATATCCCCTTTTCATATAACTTTTTTGGTTTTTGGTATGTGTACTCTTTACTTTGTATATATGTGTAGAAAGATGTTTGGAATAATATTTGTTTAATATGAATGATTGTTTCTGGGTGATGATTTTTTTTTCTTATTTACACTTTATTTATTTATTTTTAAAAAAATATATTTTATTGATTTTTTTACAGAGAGGAAGGGAGAGAGATAGAGAGCCAGAAACGTCGATGAGAGAGAAACATCGACCAGCTGCCTCCTGCACACCCCCCACCAGGGATGTGCCCGCAACCAACGTACATGCCCTTGACCGGAATCGAACTCGGGACCTTTCAGTCTGCAGACCGACACTCTACCACTGAGCTAAACCGGTTTCGGCTTATTTACACTTTATTACTTTAAAAAAATAATAAGCATGTGTCATTTTTCTAAAAACAATCCTAATTATAAAAGAACTATGCTACTTTTATTTTTTTTAAATTAAATTATTATCTGTGTACATATTTTAACATTGCCCCACCCTCCCATATATACCCTCTCTCTCCAGAGTTTTGTGTCCATTGGAACTGTGCTACTTTAAGAGATTGTAAGGTAGAGTTATTTAAAAGGAAGTAAGATGAAAGTAGGGGTAAGAGAAATTGTTTAATGAGAAATTCCAATAGAAAAAGGTGCACTATTATGTCTGCTATAACAGAATACTATAGATTGGATAGCTTATAAACAACAGAAATTTATTTTTCACAGTTCTGGAGTGTGGGAATTCCAAGATCAACTCACCAGCAGATTCATTGTCTAGGGAGAGCCCACTTCCTGGTTCATAGATGGCCAGCCATCTTCTCACTGTGTCCTCACATTAGGAAAGAGTGAGGGAGTATTCTGGGGTCTCTTACAAGGATATTAATTTCATTAATGAAGACTTCACCCTCATGACCTAAGTACCTCCTAATACCATTGCTTTCGGGCTTAAAATTTCAACATGAATTTTCGGGGACATTTAAATTCAATCTGTGGTAATCCTGTTCCTGTTAATATAGTACATTTAAAGTGGATTAAAGATTCAAAGATTAAAAAAATGAAATTATAGCCCTAGCCAGTTTGGCTCAGTGTAGAGTGTCGTCCTATGGACTGAAGTGTCCTGGGTTCAATTCCGGTCAAGGGCACATGCGGGCTTGATCCCCAGTGGGGGTTATGCAAGAGGCAGCTGATCAGTGATTATCTCTCATCATTGATGTTTCTATCTCTTCCTCTCTCGTTCTCTCTGAAATAAAAAATATATATATTTAAAAAAATGAAACTATAAAAATAAACATTTAAATGATTTTTGGATAAGGGAAGCTTTTCTAACCATGACAACAAAGAAAACCCAGAAAAATTAAAAGGAAAAGTTAAGAATGCTGACATTGTGGAATTTGTGGGCTTCACAAAGTTTGATTGTTTGAATTTTGATTATAGAACTTCTGTATCTTGAAAGATACAATAAAATGAGAAATGAGAAATTGGGGGTAAGTTGTCATATTTATGGAAAAAGACTAATTTCCAATCCTCAGAAAACCTCTTCAGATCAGTAAGAAAAAAAACCCAATAAACTAGAGAAGATGACAAAGTACAAGAAAGCAAGTAAATTACTATCTAATTAAAACATTTAATTCTAATATTAGCAGGATTCTGTAGAAAATAAGTTTATTTTCTCAGTGCTTTTTTTTCTTTTCTCAAAAAATTTTCCTCAACTCTGGTATGTGTCTGTTGAATGATATTTCTGAGTTTAGTTTAAAAACAAAATGTTACCTGTTTTCAAATAGGAAAAAGCCAACATTCAATAGGAAAGTAACTAAAGAATGTAAATGGGCTGTTTAGAGAAAAATAAACACAAATGGACCAATAAGCCTATGAAGAGATATTCCATTTCATTTTTAAAAAATGCAAATTGACAATGAGAATATTTTAATTTGATTATCAAAGATTAATTAAATGAGGAAAGAGAAACATTTATACTGTTCATAGGACAATACAGTGGTGTAACTTTTCGGAAAGATAGCTTGACAGTATACATTCATAACCTTGGATCTAGCATATGTTCCAAATGTATTTACAAATTATTGATATATATTAGAAGATATATGTATATATTTATGTGTGTGTATGTATAAATATATATATGTGTGTGTGCATGTTCATTGCAATATTTGATATTAATAAAACCAACAAGGAACAAATGTAAATATCAGTAAGAAACTGGATAAATACATTATGGTGTAGCCACTTAATGCAGTATAAAAGAGCAGGCATAAATATATTATCTGTATATCCACTATGTGTTATTCAGTTATTGAAAGCAGGTTGCATAGCAGCCACTATAATATAACTGAAAAAAGTGAGAGGTTAGATATGTCTGGAATATTATACACTTAGCCCACTTTCAGTAATGTACTCTTGTTTTCAGTTGTCCCTGCTGTCTCCAAGCTCCCTATTTCAGTTCTTCCGAGTTCATCTTCAGGGGAGGGAAATTATATGAGTAATGTAGGGAGGGCATTTCCTTTCCCTTTTGACCTTTAATGCTTTAAAACAATCCTAGGAGATAGTAGAGTTAAAAGCATATATTTAGTCTACTAGGTTTAATCTGAAGTCCTCTAAACACTGACTTAAAAATTATTGAAGTACTTTGTATTATTTGTACATAAAGGTGCACAAATCATAAATTTATAACTTGCATCCCCGAGAAGCCATATATCGAAGAAAAGGGAAAAAATTTATCTACTGGCATCAGTTCCCCTGAACTTTAGGGATGTGGATTTGTTGAGTGCAGGGGATATGGTTTTTAGTTTTGTGGTTAACAGGAAAGTTCCAAGTGAGGAGGTGAGAGATGAGAGGTGGACAAGAGTCCAGAGGCACAGCACAAGGTGTTGCTAAGGCGAAGGCAAATGCGACAGTTTGGAGGCAAACATTGGAATTAGTTATGAGGACACATACGAAATCTGGTATAGTGTCTCTACTCTCTTATGAGCTAGTGGAATAGCCTTCCACCTCTGCACCCCCCTTTAAATGGCATTAACTTTCTGAAGAGACTATGCTGGCTATTTTATGGAATAACATACATTCTGTATTTGTTTAGTTTGTTGCCTTGTGTTTAAGTCATTCCACTAAGTCTTATATTTCTGATAACAAGGTAGATGTAAAAGTTGATTAGACTTATTTTTGGGAAGCAGACTTCATGATTATATATTGTACTTCACATTGTATTACATTAGGAAGCATAGAATATCAAGTTGTTGCACTTGTGCTGATGCTTGATTCCTTAGGTGTGGTGACTTCCAGATCCTCCATTGTATAGGTATATTTTTCTCTTTGTAGTTTTTAAGTATCTAGGGGAAGTACTTCCAACACCTTATATTGAGTGAATTTTTACCTTAGTCATTAATGATCATTACCTGAATCACTCACTTCATTAGTAGTTTGAAAATGTTGATTTCCTTTTCTAATTTTATCAGTTCATCTTATTTATTAATTGATATTCTCCTGAAAAAAGTACTTTTCCTCATGAGGGATGAACCTTTGTTCCTCCTACAAAAACAAGGTAAAGCTTATATTTTCTTTTAAAGACTAGCTTTTAGAGTAGAGCTTGTGCAATAATCCCTTTCAAAGGTGGCTTATAAGTTTCACCACTTTTTCTTGTTCTTTCTTTTAAAAAAAACTATCACTATGGATAGATTTTTATTTAATAATTACGTTGTACCTTTTTCTTCTGGGACTTATATTCTACTGTCATTTGGGCCTTTTTCAATCTCTCTCTTAAAAATTATTTTGAGCCGAAACCGGTGGTAGAGCGTCGGTCTGTGGACTGGGGTCCCAGGTTTGAT